TCCTCGTTCCATTCGAAGGCTGCTTCCTTTCGAAGGAGCTTGAAGAAGGGGAGGGCGTGCTGAGCGGACTTCGCGACGAAGCGGGATAGTGACGTCAACATGTCGTTCATGATTTGTATCGACTTCTTCGACGTCGGTGTCGGGAGGTCGGAGAACGCCCGACATTTGTCGGGGTTGGCTTCAATTCCTCGTTCTGTTAGATAGAATCCAAGGAATTTTCCTGCCTTAACCCCGAACGTGCACTTCTCGGGGTTGAACCTCATTTTGCATTGTCTTGCTTGGGCGAAGACTGTCTTGAGATGAGCTGCGTGATCGGTGTCTGCTCGGGATTTGACGATCATGTCGTCCATATATACCTCGAGCATGTCGCCAATCTGTTTGTTGAATACTTTGTTCATCATACGTTGGTAAGTTGCTCCAGCGTTCTTTAGTCCGAAGGGCATTACGTTGTAGTAATAGTTGCCCGAGCTGGTCATGAATGCCGTGCAGTGTTTGTTGCCCAGAGCCATTGGGATTTGGTTATATCCCGAGTAGGCGTCCATGAACGACAAAGTCTTGTAGCCGGCCGAGTTGTCGACCAGTATGTCTATGTTAGGTAAAGGAAAGGCATCCTTCGGGCAAGCCCGGTTGAGGTCGGTATAGTCAACACACATTCTCCATTTTCCATTATTCTTTTTAACAAGTACAACATTTGACAGCCAGGTGGAGTACCGGGCTTCAGAAATAAAATTTGCCTCTAGGAGGTCTTTTACAGCTTTTTCAGCAGCCTCTGTTTTTTCTGGAGACTGCCTACGCCCACGTTGTACTACGGCCTTGGTGGCTGGATCAATGGCGAGGTGATGACAGGTGACCTCAGGGTCGAGTCCGGGCATCTCTGCAGCGCTCCAGGCGAAGAGATCAGCATTCTCGCGCAGACAGGCCTTGATTTGCTTCCTGGCCAAGTCGGGGAGGTCTTTGCCAATCTTCACTCCCTTGGTCGGGTCTGCTCCGAGGGGAACGAGTTCAAAATCACCGTCCGGAATAGGTCGGAGTGGGATTTGCTCGTTGCTGGATGGCTCGTCCTGGTCGAAGCGAGCGTCGAGGGCTATGGAGTCGACCTTTGGTGGAGCCTTCTGGGCTTCTTCCTCGGGGGATGCTTTTCTGTCGGGCTCCTGCTTTGTCCTCTTGGTGGGTCTGGTCCCCACGTTGACGGTATCCCGTCCCTTTGAAGCGGAGTTGAAGCACCTGCGGGCAGCGACGAGGTCTCCCTGGATGGTGGCTACCCGTGCCCTTTTGGTATAGAACTTCATTTTTAGATGGACAGTCGAGGGCACCGCTGTCAGCTCCGCCAATGTCGGTCTCCCCAAGATGCAATTGTATAGAGACGGGCAATCAATGACGAGGAAGCGGAGCTTAACCTGTCTTGTAGCCGTTCCTTCTCCGAACGTCACCAAGAGCTCGACATAACCCCAAGGTTTGGAAGTCGAGCCGTTGAAACCTTGAAGATCTGAACCCACATACGGAGAGAGGTGTGAGTCGTCCAGTTGCAAGGTCCGGAACAGCTGGCTGTACATCACGTCGACGGAACTCCCTTCGTCGACCAGGATGCGATGCACGTCAAAATTGGCCATTTTTGCCCTTATCAGCAAGGGGATGACCGCGTTCGGGGCTCCGCTGGGGAGTTCTTCCAGGTAGAAGGTGATGGGCTCTGACCTGCCCTTCACCCTTTCGAACGTCACAGTTTGTGGAGGAGCTATGTCGACCAGTTCGTCCAACTTCCTCTTGGCTGAATTGATGGTGAGGTCGTTGAACTCGCCCCCGTTGATGACCATGGCGGAGGGGAAGTATTCCCACCTGCTGTGTGTTGTCAGGGGCTCCTGCAGGAGCTCGGGAACGTCGAAATCCTCGGGCCTGGTTACCGAGAAGGCGGTCTGGATTGGTACCGACTCGTCTGATGGTCGGGCATCTTCTTCGGGCTCCTTGGCTTCATGGGCGTCACGACGGGGAGCGTCGTTTCTCCTGTACTGTGCGAGCCTCCCTCCCTTGATGAGGGTTTCAATGGCGTCCTTGAGGTGGATGCAGTCCTCTGTCAAATGACCATGACTCCTATGGTATTGACAGTATTTATTTTTGTCTGCCCCTGGCTTGGCGGGAGCAGGTCGGGGACGCTTGACGCCACCGTCTCTGAAATCTGTACTAGCACACTCCGCCAAAATACGCTCGCGGGAAGCCGTGAGCGGAGTATACTCGGTGAAACGGCCCGAGGGGCCCCTTTGTTCCCGGACCTCCCGGGGTCGATCCTCCTTCCTTTTCTCCCCGGTACGTCGGGGAGGAGGGTCTTGCCGTGAGCTGCTGCTGTTGTTGGGAGCGCGAGCCCTGGAGTCTCGGGCCCTGTTGGCAGCTTCTCTCTCCTCGTAGTCCATGTATGCTCGGGCCTTGTCGAGGAGGGCATCAAAAGTTGGAGGTGGTTCAATACCCACAGCTTTTCTGAATTCTGTGCCGGGGAGGAGGCCCCTCTCCAGCAAATATCTTTTCATATGGTCCGCGCAGGGGACCTGTATTGCTTCCCGGTTGAAGCGGTTGATGAATTCCCTCAAGGTTTCATCCTGCCTTTGGATGATGGCCTCGAGGGCCGCCTCGGTCTTCGGGTGGCGCCGAGAAGCTGTGAAGGAACTGATGAACTGGTTCTTCAGGTTCCGCCATGACGTAATTGAGCCCGGGGCGAGTCCTTTATACCAGTCCATGGCCGCCTTCCTGAGAGTCGTGGGGAAAAGATGGCACTTGATGGGCCCCCCGACATTATGATAGTGGAGCATGGCTTCGAACCCGTCAATGTGGTCGACCGGGTCTGCTACTCCGTCATACTCCTTCAGATGCGGGGGCTTCTCCATGCCCCGGGGGGATAGGTGCATCCATGATAGCCTGCGACAGGGGACCGCGGGGGTCGTCCTCGTCGCTCCTCTCCGGAGAAAGAGAAGGGGTCCTGTAGTTATGTCTGGCACGATGATCGTGCTGAGATTCCCTCGAGCGCGATGCTCGGTGGTTGAAGGTCACACGCCCGTCTCCGGCGTGCCTCTTGTCGTGCCTCTTGTCGTGCCTTGATGGGTCGCGACTGGGTTCTTCGGCAGGGATGACGGGATGTCTCTCATGGTAGGGCCGCCTCTGCTTTGGCCGGGGGGAAGGGCTCCTGGAGTTCTCCCTATAGTGTCTTCGCGGGGGAGAATGGTGTCGAGCTTCAGTGACCCGAGGAGGAGGAGAATGTGGCCTCCGATGCCTCCTCGGGGGTCGTCGATCATCTTCAAGTGCCCTCAGTCTTTCTCCTTGGGCGAAGATGAGGTAATTTGTCTGATTAATGGCCGCGAACAGTGCCTGAGTCGTGGCATCTGCCCCGGCAGGAACTGGGACTTCATAGAACCGGGCAGCTCTGCGATGAGCGAGAGCTACCGGGTCGTCTTCGAGCGCTGGAGGGGTCGTAGAGGATGATGCAGTAGCCCCGTCCCTGTAGGAGGAAGGTCCAGGGGCGGTTGTCACAGGGATGGCACTGTGGCCGGGATCACCGGGATTGTCGAGGTGTCCATTCTTGTCCGCGGGACCGTTATTAGTGTCGGCGACACGGACGGGCTGCTCGTCGCGAGCTGGATCAGCCATGACAAGTAATTGAATTGAGCTTTGGTCTTTAGAATTGTTCGTTAAACGGGGAAGCTGATTCCCACAGACGGCGCCACTGATCTGACCTGATCAGAAATGGACCGTCACGGCTGGCTCCGAGCAGAAAGCTTTTTTGAACGAGGTGGGGGGGGTACCTGCAAGGCACTCCGATGCTGAAGTAAGTAGGAGTACGAGCAGATAATAGTAAGTTGAGGTTAGAATGATGAATACCTGACCCTCTGGAAGCAGAGGGTATTTATAGCCCCCAGCGCTGGGCCAAGGTTCCTTCATTGGGCCGGGCAGGTTTGGCCCAATGGAGGAACTGCCAGGTTCTACGTGGGTAGTGGGGACCCGCACGTGGTCCCCTTCCTGGATGTTCTGCGTGAAGTGCGGGCGGACGGAGACGCGGTCTTTCCGGAGTATCGTTGGGGGAACAGTGGACTGAGTCTGCCCTAGTTGGGATGCTCGAGACAATGTCGAGCTGGACAGCAGGACGTCGAGCTGGACATCAGGGCGTGGAGCTGGACCGCAGTATGTCGAGCTGGACATCAGGACGTGGAGCTGGACCGCAGTATGTCGGGCACAGCTGTGACCCTCACGTCGGCGTGGTCCTCAGTAAATCCATTTGGACTGGGCCTTAGCAATGCTTTTGGGCCTGTCGGACCCAGTCCAGAACAGGTACCCAAATATTTTTTAGTATGGATGCATTTGTTGCTCTAAGAGGTCTAGGGTTATTCCCTTTAAACCATATTATATTATCATAGTAAAAAGACTCTAAATTGTCAAGCTTTTTACAAAAAGAGCATTTATAAACAGGACAATTCAATTTCTTTATATTTTTAGTTGTCAAGCACTATCACATGATCAATATATCAAGTACCATTATTTGATCAATAGCTTGTCAAGCACCCTCACTTGATCAACATAGTACTACCAATTGATTAACCTTCAAGCACCATCACTTAAACCAACATAGATTTGAGTAACAAGACTTCTCTTAAAAGCGTTAGATTTAATTTATGTCTCCAATTTTTTGTTTTTTTTTTCCTCTTAGATTTAAATTATTTTTATATGGAATTTGAATTAAATCCCTTAAGAAAATAATAAAAATGTATAACAAAGAATATAGCAAATATTTCGATGAACTCAATCCTTCCAATAGTGTCATGCTGGCTTCTCAAATTCAACACAAATATTGTGAGCCGAAAAACTCTAGTTAGGTCACTCATGAAAATAACCAAGTCTTCAATACCAAACTTAACTATAAATTGAGGACATTTCTTATCATACATCACATACCTTTGATAAACAAATTCAATAACTAGAAAAGTATCATGGCAGGTATTATTTCAATGAGGTGCCAAATTGCAGTGATGCTACTATTGGCTGTGGCATTAGGAACTCATGTGAAAATGGGTGAGGCACAAAGTAGTAGTTGTCCAGTTCAGCTGACCAATCTGAATGTTTGTGCACCATTTGTTGTGCCTGGTGCATCCAATACTGAGCCTAGTGCTGATTGCTGCACTGCACTTCAGGCAACCAACCGTGATTGTCTATGTAACACTCTCAGAATTGCTTCTCAACTTACTTCTGAGTGCAATCTCCCATCTTTTGGTTGCGGTAATTAATAATCACATAATTTCTTTGTTATTTATTATTGCTTATTTTTTTCTCTAAAGTTTTTTTAAGTTAATTTTATTGAATATGATTTATCTTTCTTGATTTACAGTTCTGAATTAGAGCATGGTGATGTGATCCACGAAGAATAAAAGGTTGAAAGAAGCTACACCCGTATAATTTGGAGACTTTGTTTTGAATGTTTTGATGTAATCTTTGCTATGAAATAAAGAAAGTTGTAGTTTTCCTTCTTGGTTAATGTATGACATATTGCATTTGCTTCATGCTCTATATATATTTTTCTGTTTTTTTTTTTTATATTTTTATATTTAAGGTTTAAGGTTTAGTTCTATTCTTTTTTTAATCTCTATCTTTTATAGAATGAAGGAGTCAACATCAAACTCGCATAGTGATATAAAGAAAATGCAATACAATACAATCTCACATGTCCCATTGAAAACTAAAGTTCATGAAACAATAGTAACATTGTGTCTTCTCTTACTAATCACTCTTCTGCTAAATCTACAATTTTCTTTCCAACGTTATCTCCATTGAAAAGCCCAACAAATGCAGAAGGGATGCTCTCTACACCCAATGACTTGTCTTCGATCACCTCTAACTGGCCATTGCGAAGATAATCCATTGTTTTAGCAGAAAATTCAGCGAAAATATTCAAAAAATCAATAGCCAAAAATCCTTTGATGGTGATTCTCTTATACACAACATCCATCATATTTGGTGATGCTCTTTTCTCAGCATCAGTATACTCAGAGATTACACCACAAGCAGTCACTCTACCATATGTTTTCATGTTAGCAACTGCTGCTTCTAGCATTTCCCCTCCGACATTGTCAAAATATATGTCAATTCCATCCGGAAAGTACCTATAATTAAAATAAAAAAGTTCATCAAGGGAGGTAAATCTCAATGAAATATTTCTAACACGTGTTAGTGTCAGACACTCAGACGTCACAAAAATGAATCTGACACTAACATATCACTGAAAAATCGTTGTCTTACAAACTTTTTAAGAGTGGAGTTTAGATCTGTTTCTTCCTTGTAGTTAAAGGCATCATCAAATCCTAGTTTTTCTTTCAGTAATGCCACCTGAGATAAATCGATAAATTGTTTATGGATTAGTATTTCCTGATAAAAGCCCAAATCAAGTTCTAAAGGATCTTAATAAGGCTCACCTTTTTTTGACTCCCAGCACAGCCCACAACATAACAGCCCAAGATTTTTGCATATTGTCCTACAATATTCCCAACAGATCCAGATGCTGCTGAAACAAATACCTTTTCACCCTTTTGCGGTTTGCAAATTTCAAAAAATCCTGCATAAGCTGACAATCCACCAAATCCTACAAACATAATTTGAGTTCTTCAAACTTAAGTAGTATAAACCAACCAAAGAACCATTTTTCTTCTTACTGTCTCAACTTTATGACAGTGTTAAAACCAGAAAAGAACAATAGTTTAGTGATAAGGTGTTAAACAGTTACCAAGAATTCCAAGATGATAAGTGAGTGGAAATTCAGAAGACTCTAATTTTCTTATTATGTTTTCTTCCTTAACCACACTGTACTCAGCCCAAGTGAATACTCCCAAAACCAAATCATCCTTATCAAACTTAGCATTTCCAGATGTCACAACCTTTCCAATAATAATAGCATCAATAGCCTACAAAAATACCAAAAAAGGACAACAACAACAACAACAAGATTAGATACAATGTTTTAAAAATCAGACCAAATATCAAACCGATAAAATCGCTAGGCAAACCAGTAAGACATGTAATTATGGTTCAATATACTATTGAACCAGAAGATAATTATTAAAAATGACACTGATATCCCATCTAATTATGCGCTGTCTTCTTCAGAGATTTAGTGACAGCAAAAAACTTCAACTACAATTTTTTATTTGTCATTAAAACATTCTGTTGATATACATATGGGAAGTTAGTTAGTGCATATTAAAATTAGAGAGAATATCGCTGTCATTTTAACAAACCTTCTGTGAAACAAATATAAATGAAAACTAGTTGAATGAATAACGGTTGAGTACCTTGCCGGGAGTTACGGGAGTTGTAAAGCTTATAACTTTGTGTGAAGTGCTGTAGCTTTTCATGCGGGTAATCAGATATGGATCAATAGAGATATGCAAATTCTTGACTATGACATTATCAGAACCTGGCTCCAATGAAAGAGCAAAAGGCTCAGTTTTGATCTCAAAATGGGACTCTTTTGGTGCATCTTCTATGTGATTCTTTATCACTATGTATTTGTTGGTGACTTCCATTTTTTAATAGAGTATGAAATGTTCTACATTTTCATTACAAGAATATTGAAGATGAAGTTTGTATTTTTTGTTACAATCTTGTTACATTATATGATCCTATGTAATTATTCTCAACCACTTATATCACATCCTATTGCAATGTTAAAGTTCACTTACAAAGAGTTTATACATGACAAGGCCCAATAACAATTGTAAACTCAATATATAAAATATAGACTAATACTCCTCCTCAAGATCAAGGTGGTGGCAATGACACGACTTTAAGCTTGCTCCTGAGGTCTTTAAATGCATAACTGGACAGTGATTTGGTCATGACACCAGCTATTTGAACAGACGTTGGGACATGCTGAATTCTAAGCTTGTTTGCAGCTACCCTTTCCCTAACAAAATGGATATCAAGCTCAATGTGTTTGGTTCGAGCATGTAAGACATGATTGTGACTCAACATAACAACACTTAAATTATCACACAATAGAGTGGGGGAGAGGCATTTGACTTTTAATTCAGTAAGTAAAGATTGCAGTCAAAGTAACTGTTGTAGTGTGTGCTAAGGCTCTATACTCAGCTTCTGCGCTTGACCTTGTCACAAGAGTTTGCTTCTTGGAGCTCCAAGAAATCAGGTTGGGACCAACAAATATGCAAGTTCCAGATGTTTACCTACTGTCATCAGGGTCATTGGTCCAATTTGAGTCACTATAAGCTCTAATGGATAGTTCTTGATTCGAGTTGGCAAGAGATAGCATTAAACCAAGTGTAGCAGTGCCACTGAGGTACTTGAGAATTCGCTTCACCATACTCCAGTGATTGTCCAGTGGGTTAGCCATGAATTGGCAAGCTTTATTCACACAATAAGCTATATTTGGTCTTGTGAGTGTGATGTATTGCAAGGCCCATACAATTGATATGTGCAATAAAGAGTCATGCATAGTATCAGTACCAAATTTGTTAAGTTTACAATGGTTGAACATAGGTACAACAACACCATTGGCTTCTTCCATGTTAACTATGCTAAGCAAGTCTTTGATATATTTTGTTTGTGTAAGGATGAGAGAGCCATTGATCTGATACTTGACTTCAAGACCCAAGAAGTATTCTGGCTTACCAAGTTTCTTAAGAGGAAATTCATTATGAAGCTTAGAAATTACCTTGTGAATTAGAGGAGATGAGGAACCTGTAACAAGTATGTCATCTACATATACTAAAGCATATAGGGTAATACCTTGATGATTGTAGACGAATAATGAGTGATCACATTTGCTGGCTATAAAGCCAAACTGAAAGAGTGTCCTGTTTAGCTTGCAAACTAGAGTTTTATTTTCATTTTCAAAACCTGGTGGTTGTAGCATGTAGACCTCTTCTTTCAAAGATCCATTCTGAAAAGCATTGTTGATGTCAATTTGTTGTATATCCCACTGATATGTTAAGGCTAAAGTGAGAAGCACTTTAATGGTAGCTGATTTTATGACATGTGAAAAAGTCTCACGATAGTCAAAACCATATTGTTGATTGAAGCCTTTGACAACTAATCTAGATTTATACTTATTAAGAGTGCCATCAGAATTTTCTTTGACCCTAAACACCCATTTATAGCCTATGGCTTTTCTATGGGAGGGAAGAGAGGTGAGAGTCCAGGTGTGTTTAGAAATTAGAGCATTGTACTCTTGCTGCATAGCTTCAAACCAATAAGGTTGAGTTAGTGCTTGTTTAACTGAGGTGGGTTCAGTATGAGCCAAAAATACTTTAGGTTTCAAACTCTCTGTTTTTCCCTTGGTTAGCATAGGGTGATTATTAATGACTAGGGGTATTGTTGACACTATATCATGAATATATGAGGATAAAGACAACTCAGAGGATATAGGTGTAGTGAGATTGTTTTGATATGGAGAAGAAGATATTTGTACATGCTCACTTTGATCTAATGTATGTTCAGACTCAACATGTATAAAAATGTTATTTTGACTATTGGAAGTGTCCAATATTTATTGTTGAGGACTCCTAGGTAAAGACTGTTGAGTATTGTTAGAAGTGACATTAGGAGTGGAGTTGATTTGACCTGAATTAATGTCAGCCTAGTTAAGTGGTGTAGCAGACTGAACAAGACTAGACTGAGTAGAGCAATTTTCTGAATTACTTTTATGAAGCAGCAGTCTAGGTACAAATAGGGAGTTGCTTGAGCAAGTATTTTCCTTTTTTGTTGTGTTGTCTAATATAGAGTTAAATGGAAACTTTGTTTCATCAAATACTACATATTTTGATTGATATATATATATATATATATATATATATATATATATATATATATAGGTTTTACCTTTCCTACTGAGGCATTTGTGACCCTTATGATGAGGAGATATACCTAGATAAACACACTCAGAGCTTTTAAGTTGTAGTTTGATTTTGTTGTAAGGTCTGAGGTGAGGAAAACATGACCAACTAAATGTTCTAAGACTTTTGTAGTCAGGTATAGTGTTAAAAAGAGCATGATAGGGAGAGGTGAAGTTTGGAAAATTAGATGTTGGTAACCTATTCAAGAGATATACAACATAGGTAAAATTTTGATCCTAAAATTCAATAGGTATATGAGCATGAGCCAATAGTTTTAATCCCATTTCTACTATGCTTCTATGTTTTCTTTTCACAGTTCCATTTTGGTGTGAAGTGTGAGGGCATGTTAACCTATGGATTATGCCCAAATTATTTAAGTATTTTGTGAATGGTCTAAATTCATCCCCAACGTCAGATTGTACAACTTTGATTTGAGCTTTAAACTGAGTTTGCACATAGACAAGAAATTGCTTAAAGATGTCTAAGGGTTCAGACTTC